TTCAGAGGTGAATTTCCCAGAATGTGATGACCCCTTGCAATCTGGACCTTTTATACACCTGGCCTCCAAAGTTTCCACCAATCAGCAGGACTTTTCCTTGTTGCTGTTTACATTGTTTTCTATAGTCAGTCTGGGACTGTCAAAGGGGAAGTTGTTTCCTAAAGATTATGAATCTTTTGAAAGTAAGGGTTTAATATGTCTCTTAATTGTGTTTACTCATAGAAACTTTGTTTCAGATAAAAGGAAGCCTGTCTCATCATCAGCATCGTTTCTGCTCTGACCATCTTCTCATTATGTGTTTGTTCCTGGTGACTGGGGAGGTTCAGGAAGTTCTCTCTACCTAGCCTCTTTCTTTGGCTATACCTAGGTTGGTAAGTGTCTGTGGGGAGAAGTGCGATGCTGATATGTTCACAATGACAGAATGAATCCATACCTGTGCTCAAGACTGTTCAGCCACCAAAATCTGATTCAAGACTAACAGGCATCTCTCTCTGTACAACCCACACCACCTGTGTCTTTCAGTTCCCTCAAAGTCACTTGAGAAGAGGGTGATTGGTACGTGCATTCTGTGTGTCAGAGCAGAATCAAAGCAGGTGGGTACAAGGAGAAGTCCAGTGGGATTTAGATAGCATCAGGCAATCTTTGCCCTGGGGTGACCATTCATCTTGATTTGTCTGGGAGTGATGGGCTTACCAGGATGAGAATGTGGGACTTTGTGTAACATAACTACTTTAGATTTAGTCAAACCAGCCTGAATTGTGGCTCTAGCCCTAACTCTGGTACTAGCATAGTCAGTGCCATTTCTTCTGTCTTTCTCCATTTCTTTTTAATGAAGGAATTAGATGAGTTGAGATGATATCTGATTCGTCTTGGAGTTCTAACATATTAAAACATTGTTTAGATGCACCATTCATTTTGGAAGAATGCAAATTATTAATTCCCAATTTGATATAACTTTGTAAATACATCTATGTTCCCATTACCGGGTTACGAAATAGAAATTAATCCCATTCCCTTTCAGTTACTCATCTCCCAAACCGCTCATCACTCTGTCAAGTTGTAACCCTGTAGGTCAATTTGGCTTTTCCTTTTTTACTTCTGTGCGAATAAAAATTATAATATATGTTTCTCTGTTTCTTTTGCATAATCACAAGTAATAATTATCACCTAGTCATTTTGCACTCTTTATGTCAGCTAAGCAGAAGGCAGAGGACACAGTTGGTGAGGGGTAATTATTCTGAAAGCATAGAATGTAGGAGAATGTATCCGTAGCTCGGGAGATTTACTGAATATGTTAATTTACTAGCACTGCCATGATAAACTACTACAAACCAAGTGGCTTAAATTTATTTTCCCACAGTTCTGAAGAGTAGCAGCCTGAATTTAAGGTGTTGACAAGGTTGTTTTTACCTGAGGATTGTTAGGGAAGTATCTGTTCCAGGTGTCTGTCCTTGACTTGTAGATGTCTGTCTTCTCCACCTGTCTCTTACATGATCTTCCTTCTAGATGCACATGGCCTCTGAACTTCCCCATTCTATACAGGCACCAGTCCTATTGAATCAGAGGCCTAACTTATTCCAATATGACCTGATCTTAACTAATTACATTTCAGTGACCTTATTTGAATATGAATTTTGGGGGAGACATTCAACCCATAACACTGGAGAATCTCGTGGTGTGTCCATGCTCAGTGATAACCACACAGGAGTGAAAACAGCAATCACAGTGGATAATGGTACAGTAACTAGTGGCTCAGACCCTTTGGGCAGGAACGTCTGGGTTACTCCTTCAGGAAATTATCTAGAGCAACAAAAGTGCTGGACAGTGGTGAAGGAAATATAGAACTTTTGATAATTAATGGAGATTATGACTGTCAGGTGTACCTTATTATAGCAGCAGTAACAGTTGCTTGTTCCATTGGCTTTCATTTTACATATCTCTCCCCCTCCTTTCTTTGCTTTTTAATTTCTCCTTCCTTCCCTCCCTCCCTCCTTCCTTCCCTCCCTCCCTCCCTCCCTCCCTCCCTCCCTCCTTTCTTTCTTTCTT